AAAATGACTCGGTCCTCAAAGGAAGTTGTCAATCCACGGAAAAGAGTCTCAGGAACCAATTTCGAGCACTCGAGATGACACTAAGCGACACGAAACAGAGCTCGGAAAAGAAAATTAAACGAAAAAAATTCATTCGTAAAATTTCAGGAAAAATGAAAGGAAGGCAAATGACCGGGTCGTTACATCTATAGAGAGAAAGGTGAATGAATTTTTTGCATCTTCATTATGGTGGTTGACATATATTAAATTGAGATTATTTGAATAAGAATTGTAAATTTTATTTAATATTTATCTTTTGTGAAAGTTTAATTCACCTAGTTGTATCAAGCATGGAATCAACTTGTAATGTGATATTAAAGTAGGCCTTGGTAAGTTCTTTAACATATATTAAATTGAGGACATTTGGATATGTTTGAAAATCTAGAGAAAAATTAATTAATGAGCTTAATTAATTTTATTTTAAGTGTGTTGGTCACTTAAATTGATATCGGAGGTAATAGGTTATTAATCCCTTAAAACTTAGTCCGTTTAATCACCTTGTGAGCATATTACATATTTGATGTAGAATTAGTACTTAAGGCATCTTGAAATGGTAATTGGACTTAGCATGATATAGAATATCATTGACTTGCATAGCTTGTTTAGATATATCTTGTGTGAGTGTATAGCTTGTTAGAATATTACAATTGTTTACCTTGAAAGCTAGTTACTAAATTGGGACTTATTTAGTACTTGTGGCTTAGTGTGGTAATGTGGTTCAATTGTTGTAAAATATTCTTGTTTTGGTGTATAAATTGCATATTGGAGGCTTGACATGTCATATGCTATCTAGACTTGAATTCTAGGACATGGTTTGTGTGGATTTAACCTTATTTGTGCATGGAAGATGGCTTTATGCATTAGTGGATTTGGTATAAGTTTGGTCTAACTTATTGATTTTTGTATAAGTTTTGGACTTATTGATTTTGGAAAGCTTGTAAGGACATATTTCACGTGATGGCTAGGGTTTGGCTCTTGTACGGAGACAAGAGTCTTCTAAGTCATAAGTGCGCACTAGGTAGTACCTTGTGGGTCGTAATTGCCCAGAATAACTTATGCATGTGCGCACTAGGTAGTGTCTTGTGGATCGTAATTACCCGGAAACACTTGTTTGGTCTAGTGACCACATGTCCTAGTCTTTCTACTTTGATTTCGCATTCAATTTCAAGTTGTTAATCATGGATTACTTGTAGCTTGAGAATTAATGCTTGCTTTGGATATTTGAATCTTACTTAGTATACTTGAAACTGTATACTTGTTTTGTGCATTTAGATCTCATATAGTGTACTTGAACTTGTATGCTTGCTCTGTGAGTTTAGATTTCATTTAGTATGCTTGTGCCGTGTATACTTGTTTTAGGCGTATCTCTTTTAGCTTAGTATACTTGTGTTCGTATATTTGATTTACGAGATTTTCATATAAAATGCATACTTGTGTAAATATGCTCAAACATTGTATGACTTGTCTTAATGTGGTTTAGTATACTTGGAAATGTATGCTTGTATATTGTATAACGTGTTTAACATTATTTAGTATACTTGAGCATGTATACTTGTATGCCGTTGTTCACGTTAAATTGCATAAGTAGCTTAGGATGCTCCCTGAGTCTCATTTTAATATAGACGTTTAAGTGGCATGAGCCCCTTTGACATGTTTCACCTTAAGGTGATATAATTGTAAAATGCTAGGTCGATGCATGCTCATCTCCTACGAGTAGCTTTATGTTACTCACCCACGTAGTGGGGACATTTTTCAGGTACCGGGATCAAGATTTGGGATTCACATCATGCTTGGATGATTTGTAAACTTGAAGTTCTCATTTCATGTAAATGTTGGCTTGAAATGCCATTTATAGCTTTATATGTCAAAATGTGTAAATTTGATTTTATTTTTGTAATGTGTACATAAGTACACTCTTTACAATGTACTTGACATGTATGAGATGAGGCCATAGGCCAGTGACATCTAATTTGAATCCTATGTAACTTTTAACTTCATGAAATATTATGAAAATATTGAAAAATGCCAAGTCATTGTCTCACCATGGTTGCATTGGGTGTGGGAATTCCGTTTTCATTCTTTCATAGGGTCTTATAAATCATGTTTGAAGTGTGGCCAAGGGCCAAACAGTAATTTGAAATCATTTGATAATTTTGGTTTTCAAATTTCCCTTTTCTTGTTCATTTTTGCCTTTTTGCCCGTTGGGGGGTCGAATTTTGTATCGGTGGTATTTTTAAGCTATGGACCATTGTAGCGCGTCCAAATAGGTAAGTTACGTTTGCGTGCATGGTCGTTTCCGGGCGAACCTTCTTCTTTGGTGAAATGAGCCTCCTATGGACTCATTTTGAAATTTTGTTGCATAATCTGATTTAGAGGCATTCTAGACCTTTCATATCAGTTTTTATTTCTTCCTTCAACATGGTCGAATAGAAAATGTGATTTTAGGGGGGGTTTCTTCTTCGTGTTTTTCCAGAAAATGTCGTCTTGGTACTGGAAATCCCTCGTGAAGTTTCAGCTTCCAGTTTGCATTTTAGCAGCTTTTTGCCTCTTTTGACCAGTTTTGATCTAGGGGCATTTTGGCCATTTTACAATGAGTTTTTTTTTTAATTCTCTCGTGAGTCACGTAGAAAACTCGATTTTAGGGGGGGGGGGGTTTCTTCTACGTGTTTTTCCAGAAAAGCTCTTCTTAACCTCCGTTTCAAGCCTCAGTTCTGGACACTCATTTTTTTTTTCTTTCTGTCAACATGTGCATACCATTGGACGCCGACATGGGGCATGTCATGGCCTTCGTTGGGCCGCCGCGACGTCAAAACTTCAAACACTCATTTCTCCCTCGTCCGGACTCCAAATCGAGGGAATTTGTTTTTGAACTTAATTAATTTTTCACTGTCTTTTCCAACGGTGTGCTCGGTTACACCCGGATCTTCCTGAATAATTACCAGTTTATCCTTTTAGCTTTAAGTGCTCGTTTTTCTTCCTCATGCCGTTTCTCCTTCATCCGAATTCCAAATCATGCGATTCTTGAGTCCATCTTGATTAGTTTTTCGTTGTCCTTCCAGCAGTGTGCTCAGTGGCACCCGAGTCCACAGTTTTCAGAAATGACTATTTTGCCCCTGAGGGCTTATTTGTCATTTTTTTTTATCTTTGCTTCCGCATTTGTTCTCATTGAGTTCCACGACCTCATGGAAGGTCACTTTGACTTCTTAGAGTCTTATTTTCCGTTTTTGCTTTCGCATTTCGGATCTGTTATCGGGTCAAACTACAGTTCATCACAGGACGCACTGGCTTGAAAAACCAGGGCCGTCACAACAGCAACATCCTAACTATGTTCTAACATGCCTCACCAATGAAATATATGCAAAATCACTTTTGTGTTTTTTCTTTTTAAACTTCATTTCAACATATGAATATTGATACACATATCTCTTAAAATAAAATCTAACATTTGTAATTATACAATGCAAAAAAGGAAAGAACTGATTTGAATTGAATAATCCCAAAAATTGATATGAATAATCACTATCTCTAAGATTACCAGATCCCAACTATATCCTAACATGCCTGAGCAATGAAATATATACAAAATCAATTTTTTTATTTTTTTATTTTAAATTCATATCAACATAGGAATTCATACACCTATCTCTTCAAATAAATTATAACATTTTTCATTATACAATGCAAAAAAAAGGCAATAATTGATTTGAATTGCATATTCCCAAAATGTGTTTCAAGTGCACGTCCCAACATGTCAATATGGATAATCCCAATCTCTAACACTACAACATCCCAACTCTGTTCTAACATGCCGAGCAATGAAATTTATATTTCAACATATAAATTGATACACGTATCTCTTAAAAAAAAATCTAATATTTATAACTATACAAAACAAAAAAGGAAGAACTAATTTAAACTGAATAATCCAAAAAAGTATATTAAGTGCACACCCCAACGTCTTAATCTAATCAATCCCTATTTTCAATACTTCAACGTTCCAACTATGTTCTAACATGCCTACCTAATGATATATATATACAAAATCCCATATTTTACTTTATTTCACTGTATCAATTCATACAAGTATTTAGAATTAATAGTCGATCGCAAATATTATATTCAACTTTTATTAGGAAAAAATAACAAATAGATCATTGAATAGACTCCAAAAATTATAAGTAAAAAACATACCCAATATCAGTCAGTTGTAGAGAATGAGTTGCTTTAAAGTCTTTACCAAATTCCTCAACTTTGCCTTCACTTCCAAAGAAGAGAATCAACAAGTCCACAAGTTTAGCTTCTACTTTATGAAGAGAAAAAAATGGATCTATCTTTACAATATTCCTCAACTTTGCCTTCAGATCCAAACGAACCCCCTCAACCAGTTCACAAGTTAGCCTTCTATTTTGTGATGAGAAAAAAATGAATCACAATATACTCTGTGATCACTTTTCTATTGGATTGTGGAGAGAGAGAGAGCGAGGGAGAGATAGAAAGCAACTAAACATTTCAGGCGAAGACGATCAAAATATGAAAAAAAATGGCGGGCCTTTTTAAAATTGAAATGCAACTCAAGTTTTACCCCTTTTTCTTGTTATTTGGTGGGTCCATACGTATCATATATACCATACGCTTTTTACTGTTCATTGATTTTACTGTTCATCTGCTGTGCACCGGCTGCAACAGATTTACTATTGCGCCGGAGACGAATTTGATTCCTTTATTTTACCAACCCAACGTGATCCCGTTAGAAGCAACCAAATGGGCCGAAGGTGGACGACCAGAAAGTTCGCAGTCCAAAAGTCTACGTACCCAGATCTACGACAACCGCGAAAACAACACATCGGGCGTTTCAGAAACGACCACGTGTAACTTCTTCCACATGGCGTCATATTAATGGTAAAACATTCTCTAGACTTCCCACGCCACGCGGTCAGTTAGTCTGTCGCGTCTCAGTTCAGTTCGCTATAAATGTATTTGTTCTTTCCACAGTATTGAAAACTCTCGCTCTAGTGACTTTCCTTACCCCGGCGAATTTTCTCGGGAAAATCATTCTAGAGCTCAAAATCTGACGTTATTTTCTTTCTTCCAGTCACACAACTTCCATTCCTCCACTTTCTCTCTCTATACATAAACACACACACACACACATATATATATATTACAAACACACACGCACATACAATCTTAAATTCTAGCTAGTAAAACCCTGCTTTCTAAAGTTGGAATCATAGATGATTATTCTATTGAGAAGAAGCTGTAGGTTGGTTGGTACCATAGGTTGGGTATAGGATTGATTCAGTTTCTTTCCAACGTTCGTGAATTTGAAAAGAATGTCAACAATCTTATTGTTACGGGTAGGGTTACTCTTATCCCTCTTCCTTTTTCTTATTCCAAATCCTTCGGAATCAGCCGTGTTGAGCATAGATCTGGGTTCAGAATGGCTGAAAGTGGCCGTCGTGAATTTGAAACCGGGGCAGAGCCCAATCTCTGTCGCCATTAACGAGATGTCGAAGCGGAAGTCCCCTGCATTGGTCGCATTCCATGGCGGCAATCGGCTGATCGGCGAAGAAGCGGCTGGGCTCGTTGCTCGATATCCCCAAAAAGTTTATTCTCATGTTCGAGATTTCATCGGCAAACCCTATAGTCATGTCAAAAAATTCCTTGATTCCATGTATTTACCGTTTGAAATTGTGGAAGATTCGAGAGGTGTCGCGGGTTTCAAGGTAATCGACGATGACGGTGGTGATGGTGGTGGTCCTACCGTTTATTCGCCGGAGGAATTGGCGGCGATGTTGTTGAGTTATGCTTTGAAATTGGCGGAGTCGCATTCGAAGGTTCCGATCAAGGACGCGGTGATTACAGTGCCTCCCTACTTCGGGCAGGCGGAGAGAAAAGCGTTGATTCAGGCGGCTCAGCTGGCGGGGCTTAATGTGCTTTCGCTTCTTCATGAGCATTCCGGTGCCGCCCTTCAGTATGGAATCGATAAGGATTTCTCAAATGGGTCGAGGCACGTTGTCTTCTATGATATGGGTGCGAGTAGCACTTATGCTGCTCTCGTGTATTTCTCTGCGTATAATGTGAAGGAGTATGGAAAGACAGTCTCTGTTAACCAATTTCAGGTAATTTTCCTCTCCAAATGGGGTTTCTGTCTATACTATAAAATGCTATGATGCTGCACTTTATGAAACCTTCTTGTTATGATTTGATGTATAGCTTCATGCTGCACTTTATGGAAACCTTCTTGCTATGACTTATGACTTATGACTTGATGTATAGAATATAAAAAAAATTATGGGTTCAGCTTAAGTACCGAGGATAATGATAACTGAATGAATCTGTAATTTGATATGCAAGTATGCCTGATGTTGATTGAAACATATGAACCCTTTTTAAGGCATGTTTTGTTATCATTGTTTTCATTCATTACACAATATCTTGTGTGAGCCATCATGTCATGTGTATTCGTTTGTTAAAGTATTTTGTATAGGTTAGTGTTATTTGTCATGCTACTCAATTCGTAAAGAGTTCGTTGCAGGTTAAGGATGTTAGATGGGACCCTGAGCTTGGCGGTCAAAACATGGAATTAAGGTTAGTGGAGTACTTTGCAGATGAGTTCAACAAACAAGTTGGAAATGGGATTGATGTAAGGACGTCTCCCAAAGCGATGGCGAAATTGAAGAAACAGGTTAAGCGTACAAAAGAAATTCTAAGTGCAAACACAATGGCTCCAATTTCGGTTGAATCTCTTTATGATGATCGTGACTTTAGGTAGGCAAATTAAAAGTGTATTCTTCATTCTTTGTGGCCTTTGATACGATTTTTTTGTGCTTCACTATTGCTGAGCAGCTGCTTTTAAAATATATGTGTTTTTATTATTCTTTTCTAAATATATGAAGAAAAGGAAGATATCCTTCTCCTTACAGGCATCCAATAATAAATATGGAACGTGTACAAAAATGACTTGAGTTAACGGGATAAATGCCACTGAAGCTCATTCAAGCATCTGTTTACACACCCAACCACACATTATTTGATAACTGTGCGTCTAACGTATATTTTATACGGTGGGAATTATGGCCAGTCATGCTTAACCTGCTCACCAGGAACTTATTTTTTTACCCAGGAGCACAATAACTCGCGAGAAGTTTGAAGAACTCTGTCAAGATCTGTGGGAGAAAGCTCTTATTCCTCTGAAAGAAGTACTTAAGCATTCTGGTTTAAAGCTTGATGACATACATGCGGTGGAGTTGATTGGAGGTGCCACTCGAGTGCCAAAGTTGCAGGTTTTGACCAACTTACCTTGAAAGATTTTTGCATGTGTATACTATCATAAACTTACTACAATCACTATGTTTTCTTTACATCAAAATGGACCTATGTCATGAATTTTATGAAAATTAATTACAACTCGAGTGCCAAAGTTGCAGGTTTTGACCAACTTATCTTGAAAGATTTTTGCATGTGTATACTATCATAAACTTACTACAATCACCATGTTTTCTTTACATCAAAATGGACCTATGTCATGAATTTTATGAAAATTAATTACATTCTTCTTGGATGTTAAAGTGCATGGCAAAATATTCTGGCTTTAAAAATACAAAATTTGAAGTTATGATAATAATTATATTGCAATCTATATTTGTCCTGTTTACTTGTCATGGATGCCATTATACTTCTCTGTATTGTACTATTGGTTCTAAGATGCATGATTATGCAAGTGCAAATGAAAGTTTGGTCTTGATAATGACCATGCAAGTGTTAGTAAAACTTTTATCCTTTAAATCTTTGCACTATCCCAGTTATAATTCTTGATTTTCCCCCTCTTACAGGCTAAACTCCAAGAATTTCTAGGGAGGAAAGATCTGGACAAACATTTGGATGCTGATGAAGCTATAGTTCTTGGTGCGGCATTACATGCTGCAAATGTAAGTGATGGAATAAAATTGAATCGCAAGCTGGGGATGATTGATGGTTCTCCGTATGGATATATGATTGAGATAGATGGTGCTGATCTTTTGAAAGATGGAAGCACAAGACAATTGCTAGTACAACGAATGAAAAAAATGTCCAGTAAGGTAAATCAAATTATAATTTACATCTATGCTGTTACAGATGGTAAAAGAATAGAAATTTGAGAAATTGTATTTTCAATTTACTTTCTATTAATCATGATCAAATTTTCTTTTTTAACAGATGTTCAGATCTATAATACATAACAAGGACTTTGAGGTCTCACTTGCATATGAGAGTGGAGACCTTTTACCACCTGCTGTTCCTTCACTTACATTTGCTCAGTATGCTGTGTCTGGTCTTGCTGATGCTAGTGAAAAGTGAGTGCTAGCAACTTTCTTATCTAATGCAGAGCTATGTTCTGGTTTCATGATTCAATGGGATGATATTTATTCTGCTGTTGTAGCTGATTTTTCTTGTGTCCTTCTGTTTTCTAGGTATTCAGCACGGAATCTTTCCTCTCCCATCAAGGCCAATCTACATTTCTCCCTTAGTAGAAGTGGGCTATTTTCTTTGGATCGAGCAGATGCTGTAATTGAAATATCTGAATGGGTAGAAGTTCCTAAAAGAAATTTGACTCTGGAGAACTCAACTTCTACTTCCCCTAACATATCAGTTGAAACTGGTAACAGAAACACTTCAGAAGACGGTAATGACAGTGTGGATACAGATGATGGGATTAGTAACACATCCAATTCCAGTGTTAATGACCAACGTACCACAGAAGTTGTTACTGAAAAAAAGCTGAAAAAGCGGACTTTTAGGGTTCCACTCAAGGTGCAAATTAACTGAATGCCTTTAAACCTAATGCACCACAGGATTTTACTTTATTAAAAACAATTTTCACTTCTAATATTTGCATTTTGCACTCGTTTTGTGCGCTTGTCTCATTTGCTATGTGTAGATTATTGAGAAGGCAGCGGGACCAGCAATGCCTCTTTCAAAAGAATGTCTTGCTCTAGCTAAAAGTAAATTGGAAGCAATGGACAAAAAGGATGCAGAGCGAAGAAGAACTGCTGAATTGAAAAATAATCTAGAAGGATACATATATGATACTAAAGACAAGGTTAGAAATGTTTTGATAAATGTAGCCTCACATTTTTTATATCTTGTCCTCTTAGACATTATCTGCATTGTTTTGATCTATTAATAACGATGGATATTAATGGCAATTTCTCATGTTAAGGTTTTTTTTTTTTGTAATAATTTTTTTTTGCATTGTTGTTAATATTTGGTAAAAGCATGTACTATTACTTAGCTCAGTCCAATAGTTGATCCTCTAGAAGACTTGCAATCTTTATATCAAATTTGATATCTTGTCGTCTTAATTGCTATGCTTTTGAGGTGTCCATTGCATTGTGTTGCTATTTTACAGGACCTGATTTCTTTCTCTTTTTATTCTTTCCTTGATAGGTACTGGATCCGATTACTTTTCTGGTGTTATTTTTTGTTTTTATCATTCCTTTTCATATGCTGACTATGTATTAGTTTTCTGTTTATTCTTTACTTATGAAATTTCTGATTTCTTTCTTGCATTGATTTGATAATACGAAGTAGCTTTTGTTATTAACCTTTTCTTTCTTTTGTTAAATGGTTCTATTGCTTTTCCAGCTTGAATCTTTCGAGGAATATGAAAAAATTTCTACCAAGCAGGAACGTCAATCCTTTATTGAAAAACTTGAAGAGGTTTGATCTCTCTCTTCCTCTCTCCCTCCCCCTCATTTTTGTCTCTCTTCATTTTTCTATTGCTGGGATTTGTTTTTTGCTTTATTTTTTTTTTTGTTTTTTGTTGTTGTTGTTGCTTTATTTTATTTTATTTTAAATTTTGTGGGGAGTGGGTGGTGGAGAGTATTTTCAACTCATATGCTTGGTCATGTTTTCCTCATTTTGTTAATGAATTTGGGATAATTATAATTTCAGGTGCAAGAATGGTTGTACACCGATGGTGAAGATGCTTCGGCAAATGAGTTCCAAGAACGACTAGATTTGTTAAAGTCTATTGGTGACCCCATATACTTCAGGTCTCTCCCTGGGTTTCTTTTTACAACTTGCAAAGGCTTTAGTTTGGCAAGTTAGAAATGTTTCCCTTCTTATCAAACAGAAGTTAGAAATCCTTTTTCTTAGAGACAACTATTTGATGTAGATATAACGAACTTACTGCACGGCCAGCTGCATCTGAACATGCTAGAAGATATCTTGGTGAGCTGCAACAGGTAAATAAGATGGTCGATTAATGTGAAATCACTCTTTGATGCGTAGTGGTTATGTTTATTTAGAATGGAATCCTTGGGTTGGTTTTGCTTTTACGTGTTCATAAGCACATTTATATTAGTTTAGTTGAAGGCTTGTGTGTGGTTATATCCTATATACTGGTACTGATGGAAATCAAGGTCGACTGTGGAATGGTAACTGAAATAAGTATTTAATTAGTAATTATCACTTTGGCAACTTGTTATAGAATAAGACAGTAATTTAATCAGTTCAAAAATTAAATAACATAAAATATCGGGCAGCAATGCAACCTGGATAACTTAGCAAATTAAGAAATAGAAAACAGCCATCAAGGCTTTAGTTCAAGTGGTATCACCTCCCCCACACGGGAGTTTGAGGGTTCAAGTACCCATTGGACAAGTACTAATTGGGGCAAAATGTGTGCGCGTGAGTTGGAGGGGTGTGTTGCTGCTTATTATCTACCCCAAAATAAAAAATAATAATAATAAAGAAAAGGGTAAATTACTCTTACCTCCCCTGAGGTTTACCTTAATTACCCTTGACTAAAGTTTTTGTAAAATATTCAGACACCCTTGTCAGAGTTGAGATCGGTTATAGGGTGTAATGTTAAGCAAGTTAATAATGTTGCTTTTTAGCTCTATCTTAATATGTTAAACATTTTTTCCTTTTTATATTGGCCATAATTTCCTCACAAAGTGCGGATTTTCCATTCTGCTTAGCATAAAAACTTTTTGCCTTCCAGGTTGACCTGCTAGACAAATAAGTTACTGATTCGGCTAGTTGAGTGGTCCGTTTGGTGGTTAGTTGTGAAATTGATGCGCAGATAGTGTGTAACAGATGTATCATAGCAGACATAGCTATTGCATCTGTAATTTTTCCACTGCACCACTCCTGTAAAATATTACCAATATTCCTGTTTTAATCCCATATTTTCGTAAGTTCAGAATTTCATTATTATTTTTTAATTCATAAAGATGATATTATCAAGAGAAGCATGTTCGATAATATTGTATTCTTAATGTCGAAACAATTTCATAATGAAAGTTAAGTGCAATAGAAGTTAAATGTGACAGAAGTAAACATTTATAAAAAAAAGAAATAAAATTTGTAAAATAAAAAGGTGTAACAAAATTAGAAAATTGAAATAAAATTAACTCCTATAACCATCAAAAATGTCAAATTTACAATATTTAACTTCCTAGATGATCGTTATATTTTATCTGTGAATAATTTCCTGATGAATTTGTAGATATACCGAACAAGATTCAACAGTGATCTCTCAAGATATATAATTAACTAAGAAATTAGGTAAGATCTAATCTAAATCAAGTAAAGTGAGAAAACGAAAAAGCAAATGGAATGTCTCCAACTTGTTTTGGAGAGTATATATAGGATTATAGTTGTATTACATGGACTTGTGTTAATATGACACAACATGCGCATGGGTATAAGATATAAACCTTTAAGATGGAGACATGATAAAAACAAAATTTTATTTTTGGTGTGTTTTTCTGGTTCACAATTGGTTTAATTTAAATTCAAATGACATATATACTGAAATTATAATAACATCATATATTATAATTTAAAATATCATGTAATATATTCAAATGCGCTGGATTAGTCTACATACCCAATTTTAACTTTTGGACACATTTAGATCTAAAGTCCACGTATCCTAACTGTTTTGGCAAACAATCACGAACCAAGTAACAATCACAAAACACACGATAGAAAAATAAACACGCCACACAAAGAACACAAAGATTTAGTGATGCAAAAAACAGGAGATTAGAAGTTTCAGCCCCCAAACCCTATCTCTCACACACTCTCTCTTTCCTGCATTTTTCGGCCTCTCAATATCCCACTCCAGACCCTAAAATGCCTTTGTATATCGAGGTACATGAGAGTACTAATAGGGTTCACGACCTGCAAGCTAAAAATGGGTCAAAACAATTTCTTGGGGGCGTTGCCAATGGGTCGTCGGGTTGAAAACAGGTCGCAACGCTACCCAGAACCAAAATTCGGGCCACAACATCACACTTACATTAAAGTTTGGGGAGGTCCTATATGAGTCTAGACACGCATTTGCATGGATATATGTACCTGAGTTCATGTATCATAGGATTGTGGTGTTTTTCGGTGTTTTGGAATGCAAAACTATGAAAAAAGTAAAAGTTTGAAGTGTATCGTTTACATGAGACACATTGTTAGTGGATAAAAGCGTCTGGCAATACCTTTACATATCAGCCAATTGACAATTACATTAGTCTTAACAAATTGTTCACTCTTTAGCTCACACCAGTTATTTTAATTCATTTTTGGGGTTGAGAGATTTTCACATGTAAATGTATGTGTGTGGATTTATATTATGTATAATGTATAGTTGGGAAGTGGACTTTATGCTACTTTGTTGACTCCTAACTCCAGTAAGGGCAGTGCGCGAGGCTCCCAATGTTGCGGGGTCTTGGGAGGGTAGATGTACGCAGCCTTACCTCCACATTTGGAGAAGCTATATCTGTTTCGAACACGTGACCTCCAGGTCACAATGGAGCAACCTTATGGTTGTGTCGACGCCCATCCTTAAATCCAGGTTCTGATCTTAAATCCAGAACCCATTCTTCTAAGTAGGCCTCATTTCAGTTGGCCACGATGCTCATGTCGAGCTTCATTGGTTTTCTTCTTGGCAGGACAAGTTTCATGTGTCGGCTAGTGCTCATTGCATCTCTGTGGAGCCTTTAGGGGAACATTGCACAAAAAAAAACTCTCTTTGGTCCAATTTCCATCCTTATGGTCCACCCTTACATTTGCTATTGAAGCAGGAAGTAGTTTCCTTTTGAGACTTCAAACCTATACATTTGTTCATTACAATGGAGACATCTCTCTCTCTCTCTCTCTCTCTCTCTCTCTCTTCTTATTTTATTTTATTTTTTGATAAGTAAAAATTCATTAAAGGCGCTTAAAAGGGGAGTGATCCCAAAAGAAAACACAAGCGGCGAGCCGCGACACTACAACTTTCAGCTATCCAAAAAATCCAACAGACTATCCGTAGATACGATTCTGCCCATTAACCCAAAAACACAAAGAATTCGGTATGTTGTCTTTGAGAGACCAAATAGGAGACTCCTCCCCAACAAAGGATCTCATATTTCTCTCACTCCATAACCCCCACAATAAACATAGAGGAGTGGCCCTCTAAGCATCACGCACTTGGCTCTCTACTATACACCCTTTCCAAACCTCAAGCAGGTATACCGTTGACTCCGGAAACACCCAAGCCAATCCAAAAGCAACCAAGAACATATCCCAAATATCTCTCACCACAGGGTAATGTAGCAAAAGATGGTTCACAGACTCCCCCGCCTTCTTATACATGCAACACCAGCTCACCACAACCTGGCCTCTCCTTATGAGGTTATCAGAAGTGAGAATGCTTCCAAGGGCAGCGGTCCATGCAAAGAAAGCCACCTTCAAAGGGGCTTCCATCCTCCAAACAGCATTCCAAGGAAAGGGTTCGTTAGGAGTCTCCATTAGATTTCGGTAAAAGATCTAACCTCAGACACCCTTCTCGAGGAAGCCTCCCACACCATCTCATCCATTCCCACACCCTCCACCACCTGGTAATACAACAATGCAAGGAAATCAATAACCTCCATAATCTCCCAATCTTGAAACTCTGCGAAATTGCACATCCCAAGTAACCCTTCCATTATCAAGCCGATAACAGTCAGCAACTACAGCATGCTTATTCACAGAAATCCCGAAAAGGCGAGGAAATCTAGAAACCAAAGAACCTGCACCATCGGTCCTCCCAAAATCTGACGTGTCTTCCGTTTTGAACTTTGAACCTGATATGTTTGGAGAACTCATCCCACCCCTTCAGAATGAGCTTCCAAGACCCCGCTGGGACTCTCGCTTCCCTAGAAAACCACCATTCATTTCCTTCCCCGTAGCGACGAGAGATATCTCACCTCCATAATCTTTCCCTCTCGCCCCCAAATCACCATAACCATTTACCAACAAAGCTTTGTTGAACACATCCAGCCCACAGATCCCCAAACCTCCCTTCAAAAGAGGAGTACAAACTCTCTCCCAATTAACTAGGTGGTATTTGAACTCATCTCCCATGCCTTCCCGTAAAAAATTTCTCTTAATCGCATCAAGTCTTTGAATCACTGTCTTGGGCATCGGAAATAGGGACAGAAAGTATGTAGGCAAATTCGAAGCTTTTCATAAGCGTCAGCCTCCCCCCTTTCGACAAGTACTGCTTTTTCCACCCTGCAAGCCGCCTCTCAAATCTTTCTACCATCGGATCCCAAACTGATAATCTTCCCGATTACACCCCCAAGGGAAGCCCCAAATACGAAATCGGAAAAGAACCAACTCCACATCCCATGATGCGCAAACTCCTGAATCTCCTCAACCCTCCCCATTGGGACTATCTCACTCTTCCCAATATTCATCTTTAATCCCAAAATAAAAACAGGCCAACACACATCTCAAGTGTCTTAACTGATCAGCTCTAGCATCACAAAATACGATTGTGTCATCCGCGAAAAGCAAGTGAGAGATTGTCAACTGGTTGGGAGGTCTACCCACTGAGAATCCTTGGATAAATCCAAGCTCTTCCGCCCTTCCCATCAATCTACTAAATGCCTCCATAACAATGATTAGATCCAATTGAGATATTTTATTTTATTTTTTATCTTTATTTTATCTCTGGTCCATGTCTAGGCCCTCCCTCAACATCAAACAATACTTTACTATTTGAAACCTTTGGTTCTAGCCGTCTATTTTTTCGAAGCCTAGAATTTCTTTGCAAATTGCACTTCCAAATCGTTTCTGTAATATTAACCTAAATCTCTCTAATTGAAGAAAATAAATCAAAAAATTTCTAGTAGCAGCCTTGATTTGAAGTTTAATACTTGTGATGTGGTTCTGAACTTGTTTTAGCAATTCTTATTGACTACTTCCCATTCTTCTTAATAGCATCCTTCTCAACATCTGTGTGATGGGTGCGCCAAGTGGACTGTGATCCAAGTTTATATGTCACTTTTCCTTTATATGCGCTTATAGGTCATTCAATTGAATATTTGACCAACCAAGCTCTCCATGTCTCAGAAGTACTTGCTAGTAGGTCCAGCATGAAATGAACACCTTGACACCTTTTGGAGTTTATGAAACTGTTTTGTCAAAATAGGTACTTTTTCTTTTTTTTTTCTTTTTTTTTTTTTTTTTTTTTTTTTTTTTTTTTTTGTGCATATATAGGTTTAAAATAGTACCTGTCATTTAGAAAACTTGCCCAATATGTTGCACACTTATAATGGCTTTCTAAGCAATTTGGACGGTGTAGATTTTTAAAATGTTGTAGTCAAAGGCTTTGCTCTCTCTCTCTCCCCCCTCCCTTTTTTTCTTTTTTCTTTTTCTTCTAGAAGGATTGTTTTTGATACTATTAAATTTGCTAATTTGTTATGTTTAAACATCAACAGATTGTACGTGGATGGGAAACAAACAAATCTTGGCTCCCAAAAGACAGAATAGATGAGGTGCTATTCTTACCTTTTCATATGACTAAACTTCTATATATTTTTGTCTACAATATGTTCTTAAAAACATGGGTTGGTGTCTGTTTATGTTTATGACTGGGAAACTCAAATCTGTAAGAGCAATGTTTTGACTTTTAGGTTCGAAGTGATGCTGAAAAGATCAAGCATTGGTTGGAGGAAAAGGAGGCCGAGCAGAAGAAGTAAGTTTATCCTTGGATTTTTTACAGGTTTTTTTTTTCTGTTTACATGTTTGTTTGCTTGTTTTTTATGTTTCTTGTTTTTGCTTTTCTAATCTAAATTTTTAAAAACAGAGACTCTCTTTGTAGTCCTCGAGGTTTCTTGTCTATCTTTAATTATTGTTCTAAATGGTGTCTAAGGCGCTGTTTGATAAAATTGAAAATTAAGCACTGAAAATTTCCAAGTACTGAATTTTAAGCGCTGAAATTTTAAGTGTTGAATGTATTAATCAATCTGAAAACTTGTTTGATACAAGTCTTAATTTTAAGCGCTGAATTTATTAAGATTATTTGTTAAATGCAAAAGCTGAAAACTGAAAGTTGTATATATTACTTTTTTGCCTTGAAATAACTTTTGCATATAATATTGTTATAAAAGATACTATATATAAAATATAAACACATATATAAAACAATGAATTTCACCGAAAGAAATATATCAATTTAACTATGGATATTAATGTCAAAACTGATCTTGAAAATTTCAAAATCAAAACACAAAACGTGTGTAAAGATGGTATGTAGGAAATAATTTTACTCTAGCAATAATTATGTTACCTTGGTAGAATCCAATGTCAATTCAATTTTCACTCGACTATTCTAACTCGAGCTCAGTTTTAAAATTTTGAACGTATTTGGGTTGGTTCGAATTGAGTAGCTTGGGTTGATGAAAGAGTTGGGTTGCGGTTGGAGAAGAAAAAAATAATGTTAGTGAAATTTTGAGAGGGGTTACATTGTATTACGGTTGATTATAAACTTAGGAGTACCACATATTTTAATTTTGTTAAATATTATTTTGAGACATTGGAGTAAACTTAAAACAAAAATCCATTGATCAGAAACCAAAGAGGGAACAGAAATGCAAAATGAAGAAGAAGGGTAATTAGGGATGAGTACAAACAAATGTTAGGACTTGACATTCTGATGATCTGAGGGTAAAATTGTCATTAATAAAATATTTTAAAATCTAAAACAGTTACCGTCTTCTGCGATAAGGCTTAAAATTTTGGCATGTAATATTTTCAGTTGTAGCCAAAATAATTAACAAACACGCTTATTTTTAAAAAAAAATCGCTGACCGTGTTATGTGTTAAGTGCTGAACTACAGTATCAAACAGGGCCTAAGTCTAGTATCACTCTGATCTGGGATATTTTTACTACTGGAAATGGGGTATTGTTAAGTGTGTTTTTTTTCCTTTTCATACCATTTTCCTTGTATTGTGAAGATATGCTTTCCCTAATTTGAATTGTACATTATTTCCCCACTTTTTAATAAAATATTCCAACCATTGGTTGTGGGGGGGGGGGGGGGGGGGGGGGGGGGGGGGGTGGTGTTTGGGTGGGCGCTTTGTTTAATCTTTATTTTCTCTCTCTTTTTCTCTTGGAGGAGGTATTGCTTGCCTTATTTAAGAAGGTATTTAATTTGGTTTGAACAGTGTCAATTATAAGTTTTGTTTTAATCAGGAGTCCAATTCTTATTGGCTGTACAAATGCAGTTGTTTTCTCGGATAATTAGTGTCTAAACTAAGTTCGTTTCTTTAAGAAGTGCTGACGTAAATCGATATACCCTTTTGGCTTTCTTGTTTTCGTAAAATGTAGTTTATACAATATTCCAGTCGGCCGTTGACCGAAGGAATATATTGTCTTTAAGTCTATTTCTGCATTCATTTGTTCCAAGTTACTTCTTAAATGTATATTAAGTTAATAAGAGAATTTTCGTGGCCTATCCTACAAGACTTTTTTGATGAGGTTGTTAAATCAATGGATTTAGTTAGTCAGTAGTGCATTACCTACTTGAGTCCTTGATTTATTCATAGAAGAAGTATTGCATGCTTATTGCTATGCCATTATCTGACCTGTCCTTGATATTTTAGGCTCTAATTCTCATTTAACAATTTGACTAAGTGGATTTCTTTGACAGGACTTCTGGATTCAGCAAACCGGCATTCACTTCTGCAGAAGTGTATGGGAAGGTATTTGATCTTCAAGACAAGGTACTATTGCAGTTCCTTTGCTTGATTAACGAGGACTGAAATCTGCATATTCTGTACAGATGTGTGATGCGCTATTTCATTCCATTTATTTTTATTTGTCTAGGTTGCAAGCATCAATAGAATTCCTAAACCAAAGCCCAAAGTCGAGAAGCCCGTAAAGAATAAAACCGAGAGCGGGGGTGATGATGCGACTACCTCTAATTCATCTCCTGAAGAGAGTTCCTCTCAAAATGACCAATCAGGATGGGCTTCAGATGGCTCAACAAATGACAACAAAGATTCTGAAGAGGAGGTTCATAAGACAGATTCCGAGAAGGAGGTTCACGATGAGTTGTGATCCAACCAAAATGACTTATATACTTAAATGCTGATATGTATTAGGTAATAGAAATTTAGATCAGCATGGGTAGAAAACGGCAATGGCGGCAATGTCAATGGCAGAATTAGTAGAGTTTAGTCCTCTTTTTCAGGTCTGAGTTTTTCTTCCCATCCTTGGCATATGATGCTTTTCCTCGCTTTTGCTAAACATTTTTAACCCTTGATTTCATGATGATTATCATACCCCGTAAACACATTCATGGAGCATTCTGTGGAGCAACTGTCTTTGGAGAAGTATGGACCTTTGTTTTATGGGTTTTCGAAGTTATTCTTAACTGTATTATGCGATGGAGATTTTGTTTTCAAGGAAGAAGAGCTAATGCATCGTTTCAATCCTTGTAGTGTCATGCTTTTCTATTGTTGTGGGTCAGATTTATGATTTTTTTTGGCATAAACATGAGATCCAAAAAACACTCGAGTACAAACAGGAAAAAATGAAATTGACACAGAAAATGTAAATGGCATAATAATTGGTAGCTGCTTTGGAAAGTATTCGTAAATTTTATTATTTGAAATTCAAGAAATATATATATATATCTGTTTTATCCTATAAAAGTGTGTTCTATTTGTATTTATTATATACACTTTTTGATAAATAATATATACTCAATTTCAATATTCTATAAGTGTCGTTTACCGGTTACACAGTTTTCTTACATTGTTTAAGACTCGGGTGTTTTTTTTTTAGAATTTTTAAAAAACAAAAAACCCTATTTCTTCTACAAGGTTTGAAATCCAATGTCACTTTTAAAATTATACATTGTCTTCTACACTCATTGGTTATTTATTTTTTTTTTTTGGCACAAGGGTCGGATTAACAGTTTTTACTCTCTTTTCAATTGAAAATTCAGAGAAAAAAAAATTGAAAAATACAATATGAGATTCTTAATTAACTTTTTTCTTTCTTACACTTTCTTATCAACCAAACAAAGCAATAAGTTTTTTTAGGGTTCTACATGTAGGATCAAAATCGTCTCCAGCGCCATAGTGATCTGTTCGAGCCGATGAGTAGTAAAAATGAGTAAAATATAAAGTAAAAATATATAACGTAAAAAGCGTATGGTATATATATTTGGATATTGTCTTTTATACTCTATATGTATGGGTCAACCAAATAACAATAATTAAAAAAAAAAAGGCAACAATTGAGATGCATTTCAATTTTCAAAAGCCCGCGATTTGTTTCCTTTTTTCATCTTCTTCCCCTTCAAATGTTCAGTTGCTCTCTCTCTCTCTCTCTCCACAATCCCAAGAGAAAAGTGATCACATAGTATATTGTGGTCCATTTTTTTCTCGTCACAAAATACAAGTCTAACTTGTGAACTGGTTGACAAGTTATTTGGATCTGAAGACAAAGTTGAGGAATGTTGTAAAGATGATCCATTTTTTTCTCTTCACAAACTACAAGCTAAACTTGTGGACTGGTTGATTCTCTTCTTTGGAAGTGAAGGCAAAGTTGAGGAATTTGGTAAAGATTTTCAAGCAACACATTTTCTACAACTGACTGATATTGGGTATATTTTTTAGTTTTAATTTTTAGAGTCTATTGAATATTCTATCTGTTATTTTTCCCTAATAAAAGTTGGGTATAATACTTGCAATCAACTATTGATTCTAAATACTTATATGAATTCATATAGTGAAATAAAGTAAAATATGGGATTTTGTATATATATCATTGGGTAGGCATGTCAGAACAGAGTTGGGATGTGGTAGTCTTGGAAATAAGGATTAATTACATTAACACGTTGGGATGTGCACTCAATATATTTTTTTGGATTATTCAATTTAAACTAGTTCTTCCTTTTTTACTTTGTGTAGTTATAAATGTTAGATATTTTTTTGAAGAGATATGTGTATTAATTTATACGTTAAAATATAAATTTCATTGTTCAGGAATGTTAGAACAGAGTTGGAATGTTATAGTGTTAGAGATTGGGATTATTCATATTGACATGTTGGGACGTCCACATCAAACACATTTTGGGAATATTCAATTCAAATCAATTATTCCCTTTTTTGCATTGTATAATGAAAAATGTTAAAATTTATTTGACGAGATAGGTGTATGAATTCATATGTTGATATGAATTAAAAATAAATAAATTATTTTGTATATATTTCATTGCTCAGGCATGTTAGGATAGAGTTGGGATGTGGTAATCTTAAAGATAGGAATTATTCACATTAATATGTTGGGACGTCCACTTCATGCACTTTTTGGGATTATTGAATTTAAATTAATTTTTCCGTTTTTTGCATTGCATAATTATACATGTCAGATTTTATTTTGAAGAGATACGTATATCATTTCATATGTTGAAATGAAGTATAAAAAAAAAACGGGGGGCCAGGGGGGGGGGGGGGGGGGGGTGTTTATATTTCATCACTTAGGCATGTTAGAGTTGAGATGGGATGTGGTAGTCTTAGAGATGGGGATTATCCAGACTGTCATGTTGGGACGTCCACTTCATACACTTTTTGGGATTAGTCAATTCAAATCATTTTTTTTATTTTTTTGCGTTGTATAATTATAAATGTTATATTTTATTTTAAGAGATACGTGTATCAATTCATATGTTAAAATGAAGTTTAAAAAGACAAAAACAAAAATGATTTTGCATATATTTCATTGGTGAGGCATGTTAGAACATAGTTGGGATGTTGTTGTCTTAGACATGGGGATTATTCACATTAACCTATTGGGACGTGCTCTTCATATACTTATAGGGATTATTCAATTCAAATCAGTTCTTCCCATTTTTGTATTGTATAGTTATAAATGTTATATTTTTGGAAGAGATGTTTTATGCAGTTTATTGGTAATATATGACCAAACTAAGTTGGGATGTGCAACTTTTAAGTGGTAATTGGTGTTCCTATATTTTAAATTTAAGTTCTTCCATTATCTTTTCTATTTTCCATTATATACCTGCAACAAGTTAGTAAGAAGATTGGATTTAGTTTAAATTTTATCGGTGACACATTATGTTACTTGAATTATGTTGTAGGTTCAAAATTTTACTCCTTTCAATGGAAGATGAAATGATAGATATTGAAGACACAACAAATGCTCCAGTTATAGAGGCCAAGTGAAATAATAGAAACCAAGGTTTAAGATGGAGTTTGATACGGAACAAGAGGCATACGATTTTTATAATGCATATGGGGGTAGAGTTGGATTTAGCATCCGGAAGCAGTATTTTACTAATGGCCGTAAAACTGGGAAACTTTTAATGAGGTTGTTTACTTGTTGCAAGGAGGGTGTTAGGAAGAAGGATAGAAGGGACAAACATACAAAGACTCCGCGAGCTGAAACAAGAACTGGTTGTGGTGCACGAATGCATATTAAATATGATGAAGCAAAGGGAAAGTACTTAGTTGATAATTTTGTAGATAGTCACAACCATCCCTTGATAATTGATGAATGCACCCACATAATGCCATCACAGAGATGTATTTCTAGTGTCCAGGCCATTGAGGTGGATTTGGCTTCAGATTCAGGAATTGCAACTCGTAATTCATATGAGTTAATGACAAGGCAAGCTGGTTGTAAAGAATCAATTGGATACATTAAATTGGACCAACAAAATTATATAAGGACCCGCAAACAAAATGAGTTTCAATATGGTGAGGCAGCATGGCTCACCAATTATTTTGTCAGTCATGCATGTGATGATCCTTTATTTTTCTATGCCTTACAGTTAGATGCTGAATAGATGATAACCAATATATTATGGGCAGATTCTAAAATGATAACTTATTATGGCTATTTTGGAGATGTTGTAACTTTCGACACTACGTACAAACTTGTACATGGCAACTGTCCCTTTGCATTGTTTTTGGGTGTCAATTAACACCGGGAGACGACTGTATTTGGAGCAACCCTTATGTATATGATGAGACGGCAAATTCTTTTGTGTGGTTATTTGATACTTTTCTGAAAGCGATGTCCGAAAAAACACCAAAGACAATTCTGACTGATCAAGATGCAGCAATGACGAAGGCTTTGATGCAGGTAAATTGAATTAAGATCTTCACTCCTTTTCATTTACTGAAAATACCTGTAATGCCTAATTGATACAATGAAGTGAAGAATAAAATGGTAACCTCAATCAGTATATGAAAAAATGTTTATTATTCTAACATATCCATTACTGTGATTATGGTTGAAGCATTTATGTACACATAATGATTATTTGAGGAAGTACATGAAACATGTGGTATAAATGATTAATGATTTTAATAAGCCTCTATAATTAAATGTATTTTTCAGTAGTTGGAGAAATTAGAAACAACCAATAATATGATAAAATAAGAATAAAATATATATTTTATATGTGTTTTCCTACTATAGCTATAAATTGGTTGTTAGGTTTGATTAAATTTAAATGCATTTAATGCCTATACATGTTGTTAGAACAAAGTTGGAGTTTGAAAATATTACACTATTTTGGAATATTAGAATTTAGGGTTTAGGGTTTATTTTGAATGTCCTGACTCAAACATGATTTTATGTTTTAGGTCATGCTTGGTACAAAACATCATCTATGTAAGTGGCATGCAATGCAAAATGCACAAAAGCATGTTAGGTTCTTGTTTAAATGTGATGAACGCATTAAGAATGTGATATCTAAATTAATGTTTGAAATTGAGGAGGATGAACAATTTATGTCAGAATGGGATTCAATGCTAAGGGTGTTAATCTTATTGGTAACACATGGCTTGACCACTTGTTTAGCTTGAGACATAGATGGGTTATGGCATTCATTAAATATACGTGGTGTGCGGGAATGCGCATTACACAATTGAGTGAAAGTTTCAATGCTCGCTTGAAGGAGTACTTATCGAGGCAACTCATTCTTCCCGATATCTTCACTCATTTTGATAGGCTGTTGTCGGATAAGCGTTACAAGGAGTATGAAGACGAGTATGGTTTGCTACAGAGGCTTCCGCAAGTTAAAACAAAGTGTGACATGTTACTTAAAGCGGGAAAGATGTACACAAAAGTTATATTTCAGCTTTTTTAGGAGGAGTTTTTAACAGCTTGTGTCAATGATAATGTTAATAGTTGCAGTGACATGGATAACAATGGACAACGTGTTTATAAAGTTACCAGTCATAATGGGATGTAACGTTCTATGACTAGAACAATTGAGGATGAATTATCTTGTTTATGTGGTAATTTTGAAATGAATGGATTTTTGTGCAGTCATATTTTAAAAATCCTTAAGGATTGTATGAACATCACTGAATTGTCTTCTCGATATATATTAAGAAGGTGGACTAGAAAAGCCAGAGATGGGAACTTGGATGAGATTCTTGGTCGTGAAGTGTTGATGGATCC